TGGTGTTGGTGTGCTTGACTGGCCAGCAAACTCACCAGACCTGAACCCCATAGAGAATCTATGGGGTATTGTCAAGAGGAAAATGAGAAATGAGAGACCAAAAAATGCAGATGAGCTGAAGGCCACTGTCAAAGAAACCTGGGCTTCCATACCACCTCAGCAGTGCCACAGACTGACCACCTCCATGCCATGATTTGGTGGGTTTTTGTTAAATGTGGGCCAAAATCATCACAATTAAAAGACCCAACGGCTTAAACTACTTCAGTCTGTGTGTATTGGATTTATATAATACACAAGTTTCACTAGTTGAGTTGAATTACTGAAATAAATGGATTTTTCCACGATATTCTAATTTATTGAGATGTACCTGTACATACCCAAATTTGCACAGACACTTTGTGAATTCTGATGTCTGAGTTTCAGTTTGTTTAGCATATTGAAGTTCTCATTGTGTGGCATCTTCTGTCATATTCCTGATCGTGTTTGAGTGATTATTTTTGCTTTTTCTTCCTCTTTCTTTCCTCTCTTCTTTGCATGGCTGGGTTGTCACCTTTTTTGTCTGCACTGCTCTTATTTTCACTGAACAATTTTATATTTTATCGCACCTTCACCAACCCACTCTTGCTTACTTTGAACCGGGGTCCTTTGTAGTCATGCACGTTGGAGCCTCCAGACAGTGATGAGGAAGTTCTTGAGAGGATCCTGAAGTTGCCCCCTCAGGTCTACCACAGTAAGCAGCTGCTCAGCACCCCTGAGGAGGACAGCAGTCAAGAAGAGCTTTTAACCCGCAAGTTCTTGAGAGGATCCTGAAGTTGCCTAGTCATAGTCAGCCTCAGCCCAGGCCTGGCCATCTAGATCCTAGACCCCTAACCAAAGAACCTTTACCCAGACAGAGGCCCTTGCAGGTCAAGCCTAAGACACAGCACAAGGTGCACTGCGCAGGCACAGTGGATACGATCAGCTATCCTAAAGAAGAAAACATTAGTTTATATGAGTGTCCCACCAAGAGGCAGGTCTCAGCCCGCTGTCCTCCCCTGCCAACCCACAACAGCAGAGAAAGAGTACTGCTCGAAAGGCTAGGGGACCGCCTTAGGAGGGAGGCCATGCTCAGGAGCCAGGAGGCTGCAGCTGCAGCAGCAAACCTCAGCCATCGCCTTACTTCACCAAGACCCTACCCGGTCAGCAAAGTAGCACAGACTCTGAGGCCACCCGTTGGTCATGAGGTGGAGATCGATGTGGAGTACAGCACAGATGACAACGAGGAGCCCGTGGACTACAATCCTGAGGAGGTGGTGGTGCAGCAGATGAGCTCTGAGCGGTGGAAGGAGGGGGCTCAAACAGCGCACTGCAGACTTCCTCACAACCAAGGGCTGAAGGCTGATCCACTGGTAAATGTCACTGCAGACCAGCTGCAATGGGTGTGTTGTCCCAGCCCGCTTCCCTCCTCTGTAGCAATGTGGACCTAACCTATAGTGAAGGTCACTAAGCTCTTTATAATTCAGCTCTGGCCGCAGCATAGCTGAATCTGTTCTCCCTCTGTCTGACTGCACTGACTCCTACTGCTTTCATAATTGTATTTTCTCCTCCCCAGTAGTGATTGTGTTTGTGTTAAACATTTTTCTTATTGTCTGGTTTCTTGTTCTGTTTGCTGAGCAGGAACCCAGCCAGTTCTCTAAAGCTGAGGCAGATTCCTCATCGTGCATGCAGACCAGGACACCCAAAGGTCAGAGGCTCCTTCCTGTTTTGTCTTCCTGTTTCCTCTGTCTCTTTTCCTCTCTTAACTGTGCAGTAACAGAAGAAATGTATGAGGCCATGTTGATACCTGCGCTTTCTGTTGGCAAGCTTACCCCTCTATCACATGATGGTAGTCAGATTAGCACCTTATGTAGGAAGGGGAAGTTAGAGAGGAGAAGGTGCTGTAGCTGCAGTGGAGAAGTGGGAGAGAGGCTGCTAAGCTGAGAACTGGCTTAACCCAAAGTGGCTTGTCATGACAGGAGGAAGTGACAGACATTAAAATAGTAACCTTGATTAGCTGGTAAAGAGACAGCCTGCGGTGTGGACAGTTAAGGCCCTCTGACTCCCTCTCTCCCGCCACATCTTTTTTTTACTCCCTTCTTCCTTTTTAATTTGTCTTGATGACACAGACTGCACATTCATTTAGTAGACCTGACCCTTCTGGGTGTATTTGTGGGTGCACTGTTGACTTCACACATAAACGCACAAATGTGCACGTGCACACAGATAGAGGAAGGGAGCAGGGAGAGGTTCTGTCCTATCTAGTAGAAAATCAGTGAGGATGTGAAAGTGTGCAAGTTGCCTGCTCATGACTCTTGTCACAGATGGGCTGATTCTCTCTAATGAGATAGAGAACAGGTCTCTTTGGCACAGCTTAAAGTCTCACTACAGCTCTTCACAGTTATCCCTCACTGCCAAACAGGCCACAGTTAGGCTTTTAGTCACACTGGTGTCATTACCTCATGTCAGTGCTAAACAGCTACTTTGCATTGCATGATGTATGGCACATAAGGTATTAAAAGTACATTTGAGAATATTTATTTTCTTTTTTCTATTTGCTTGTGGCTCTGCTCTCAATAAACGGCTGCTTCTTTTTCTCATTTGCTGCAGATCATGAGTGAGTGCATATTTGTCAGACAGTTCACACAGATAAGGATGAGTGGTTTAGCTTGGTTACCTCTTTTAACAAAATGCCTGAGAAAACATTGTTCACTGCATAGCGGTGGCGGATGTGCAGCCTGGCTGTGCCGTTTGCAAAGCATGCATGGCTTCTTTGCAAAGGATTTGTTGTATAAAATGTCTGAAACAGTAGCAATGCTAAATTGCATTTAAATGATAAAAAGGCAACGTTTACAAAGCACACAAGAAAGCATAAAAATAACTTAACATGTAGAAATAGAAACCGCAATTGCAAATAAACAGACATGTATGCAAATAAAAAATGAATTACATGATCATTTCATTATTGATTAATCAGCCAATTATTTTCTCAATTAATTGATAAATTATTTTGTTCAGAAAATGTCAGTGAAAATACCAGGTATAATTTTCAACAGCCTAATGTAACAACAGTAGAATGTTTTGTTTTAATCTACAAAATTCAATTTACTATCATTTACAATAAAGAAATGCATCTCATTCTGGGATTTGAGAAGCTGGAACCAACAAATGTTTGGTATTGTGGCTTAAAAATTGCTAAAGTAATTATTTGATAACCAAAATAGTTGCAGACTAGCATGGTGGAACCAATCATCACAGCATTGCACTTACAGTGCCTTGCGAAAGTATTCGGCCCCCTTGAACTTTGCGACCTTTTGCCACATTTCAGGCTTCAAACATAAAGATATAAAACTGTAATTTTTTGTGAAGAATCAACAACAAGTGGGACACAATCATGAAGTGGAACGAAATTTATTGGATATTTCAAACGTTTTTAACAAATAAAAAACTGAAAAATTGGGCGTGCAAAATTATTCAACCCCCTTAAGTTAATACGTTGTAGCGCCACCTTTTGCTGCGATTACAGCTGTAAATCGCTTGGGGTATGTCTCTATCAGTTTTGCACATCGAGAGACTGAAATTTTTGCCCATGCCTCCTTGCAAAACAGCTCGAGCTCAGTGAGGTTGGATGGAGAGCATTTGTGAACAGCAGTTTTCAGTTCTTTCCACAGATTCTCGATTGGATTCAGGTCTGGACTTTGACTTGGCCATTCTAACACCTGGATATGTTTATTTGTGAACCATTCCATTGTAGATTTTGCTTTATGTTTTGGATCATTGTCTTGTTGGAAGACAAATCTCCGTCCCAGTCTCAGGTCTTTTGCAGACTCCATCAGGTTTCCTTCCAGAATGGTCCTGTATTTGGCTCCATCCATCTTCCCATCAATTTGAACCATCTTCCCTGTCCCTGCTGAAGAAAAGCAGCCCCAAACCATGATGCTGCCACCACCATGTTTGACAGTGGGGATGGTGTGTTCAGGGTGATGAGCTGTGTTGCTTTTACGCCAAACATAACGTTTTGCATTGTTGCCAAAAAGTTCGATTTTGGTTTCATCTGACCAGAGCACCTTCTTCCACATGTTTGGTGTGTCTCCCAGGTGGCTTGTGGCAAACTTTAAACAACACACTCTTGTGTGTTACAGCCTGCTCAGTGTTTTATAACTAAGGTGTCACTTTATTTTTAAGCTCATTTAATAAGACAAGTTGAACCAGAACAGACTCATTTGGAGCAGCATAGAAACACATACAGTACACACATGGATCACTGTGTAGAGCTATGGGCAGCTTCTGCACAACTTCTATAATTAATTAAAGTCCCACTCCAGAAACATTTTCATTTTTATATTTGTATATAAAAATACTTTACTATAAACAATATGCAGTCTAACACAGCTTTTCCTCAAAAAAATTTCAGTGGGCCTCTGTAATAGGAATGAACATTGCCCCTCATTGTGCATTCCAGGATCTATGAATGTTGCCGTCATCCCTTATGTGGATTTGAATAATTTTGCACGCCCAATTTTTCAGTTTTTTATTTGTTAAAAAAGTTTGAAATATCCAATAAATTTTGTTCCACTTCATGATTGTGTCCCACTTGTTGTTGATTCTTCACAAAAAATTACAGTTTTATATCTTTATGTTTGAAGCCTGAAATGTGGCAAAAGGTCGCAAAGTTCAAGGGGGCCAAATACTTTCGCAAGGCACTGTATCTAAACAATAAGAAAGATGTGTTTGAATGTTCTTTCTGTATTTAAGCCATCTGACAACGTCGGCATCATTTAATCAGTCCTGTATGTGTGTCTGCAGATGGTGTTGATTCAGCAAAGGTGAAAGGAGACAGTGACATACGCATCTTTGTAGCCCTCTTCCCTTATGATCCTGCCACCATGTCACCTAATCCTGATGCTGCCGAGGAGGAGCTGCCCTTCACTGAAGGACAGATCATCAAGGTGCGTCCTTCACGGCTCAGACAGACATCATTGGAATAACACTGACAATTATGCAGCTTGTCAATTCAAAACATCCTTGATGAGTCCTGTTTCAGATATGCATTTTGTTGGTATCTTAACATACTAGCCATTATTGTAAAATGTAGTCAAAGCAGTGGCAAAGCTAGAGCACATATACAGTTAAACAGACAGAGGGATATTAAATGCATATGTAACAGTACCCTCATGAATCATTATGGAACATTTCTATAACTTTGACCTACTGTATGTTGTAAAGCCCAAAAGCTGTCACTTTAGCAAACAGACGGAGCCAGTGTTGATGTTACAGGTTCCATGTTTATAAGAAGTTATAGAATTAACCTTAGTGGACACATTGTTACACTTGTCTCATCAGGTTTGTGGAGATAAAGATGCAGACGGATTCTACCAAGGAGAGTCTGGTGGTCGTCTGGGCTATGTGCCGTGTAACATGGTGTCTGAGATCCAGGTGGAGGACGAAGAGATGAGGCAGCAGCTACTGCAGCAAGGCTTCTTGTCTACATCGGCCTCCATGGAGAAGATAGGTATGTGACACCGCCAGTCACAGATGTGTCAGTTCTACTGCCTAGTGTTGTTGTTTGTTTTTAAATGTAGTCTGTTACACCTGAAAATGAGCACATCCTTTACCGTAGGTGTAAATTGTAATGTTTTACTCATAATGTCTTTTGCTGTTCATGTAAGGGAAAATAGCAGCACTAGTGCTGCAGAATCTACACATTGGCATGCTTTTGTCTGCAGGCTATTTTTCCACATAAGAGGAGAAGTAAATGTTCCCTCTGGCCTGTGTCCTTTTGACCCTGCAGGAAGCACTAAAAGACTTGATCAGATCAGGCTGCATTTCAGCTTCACTAAATTAAAATGAACTAAAATATATTCCTCATTGTTTTGTATGAGGTTAGGGCTTCTTGTTTAATCACAACCATATACGTTCTCAGACGCTGACTTCATTTTCATGCAGATGTCAAAAGAATAAACCTTTGTGTTTGCCTGTGGTGAGTGGTAACGAGCCACCCAGCGAAATCAAGCAGACACTTTGCTTCTGTTTCCTGCTTTCTACATGGAGCGGTATTTGCAGATGGTTTAACCTTTTCACTTCCATGTGTTCTCACTGTGTCTGCTGCTTGCTGGTTGTCATTTTTAAATTGCTCATCACTTGGCTTTTCATTGTCTTCTTTGTCTGGTCTGCTTCTCTCAAAAATACACCTCTGTGTTTCTTTTTTGGCTTTCTTTTTGTACTTTGGTTTTCCTTTCTAAAACTCCATAAAGGCTCTCGCACACACGCACAGCTTCCACGCCGCCCTGTTCCACCGCCAAAACCGAGACGTTCCAAGAAAGGTGTGTCTTGCTTCAGTTTGAAGCTCCCTCCTCCCTCTTTTCTTTTCCTCTCTGGTTTGCTTCTCTTTCTGTCTCTTTCACTTTAGCTATGGCTCTTTCAATTGCTGCTTATCACTCTGTGACCCGAGGTGATTTTTAGGTCAATGTGGTAATGAAATCAGACATCTTCCCAGAGTTATTTCCATGATGAATAGGTCTCCCTCCCTAGGCCTAGTCTTATATTTTTTATTAATACTGCCCATGCAGCAGCTTCACAACTATTACATATAAAAGTTCTGTCAGTCCTGTCAGTTTTCATTGGACAGTCATGTAATACATTGCAGACATGCAGTCCTGACACAGCAGGTAGCAAGTATTTGGACAGTTGCTTCAGGATCTGTGCATCAGCATGTTCAGTTTGAAGTAAAATTCTTGACTTGCTGTGCAGCATTAAAGGGTTTTCCTTCACCATGCAGATGATTTCGCACTCATCCACAATGCTTGTGCTTCTCACTCTACCAGGTTGTTGATATTTTCTAGTTTTTCTGCGCATAGCTGCTTTTTAGATTGTACTTAACTGTTGATTTTGATATTTCTCTAATAGAGTTTTGCTTTTTTGTTTTCTTTATTTCTATGGTCACTTCTTTGTCCATCTCCACTGCACTCTGAATGGCAACTCTGTGTCAGCTCTGAGACATATGAACTCTTTTGTGCATGAACTGAAGTTGAAACAAGGCACAGCTGCCCAAAAAACATTTGTTCAATTACTGTACTTTTGGTCTCTTTCAGTGTGGGCACTATGTAGTAAAAGGGCTCTCACACAGTTCTTCTAATACTTAGGTATACCTGCTCAAATTAAAGCTGAGATTTGGCACGTTAATGCAGTATTTGTTTGCTATTCAAACTGAATGCGCTGAAACAGCTCCGGAAGGACAATAAAACTGTCCAAATAGTTTCGTTCTCAACTGTGGTAGCAGAAGGTGGCACTATGTCCCAAATGAATTACATGATCACCTTAAGGTCACATGTTGAAATTTCCATCCCCTCTGATTGCCATCTGTGACTTGATGTACTTGGTTGTGATGACTAAGACATACTATAACTTTGCCTTTTGAGGTTTAGTCAGTGTCCTCCAGTCATTCTGAGACTGTGCTTATGCTCTTTTCCTTCACCTCATCTCTTTCAGTGGAGTCTGCAGCACTTTGGGAGGAGAGCATAGACTCCTCCAGTCAAGGTCTGTTGTTAGCTATTTGACCCTCTGCCTCTCTTTTGCACCTGCATGATCAAAGGAATGTTTCACTGTGCCATGTAGGTCAGTGTGTGTGTGCACCTGATGTTTTATGTGTTTAGCTACCATTTTATGTCCCTTTTTTTTTTTTACTGGTTGTAAACTTGTGAACTGTACCTTCAGGGGGGGTGACTGGTTCAGTGGGTAGAGCAGTTGTCTCCCATCCGGAAGGTTTGAATCTCAGTGCCTGCAGTCCACACGTCAAAATGTCCTTGGGCAAGACACTGAACCCCCAGGTTGCCCCCAATGGTTAGAGCCATCGGTGTGCTGTAATTATCAGGATGTCAGACTGAGCAGTTTGCCCCTGTCTGTTTGACTGTCAGATCCCAGCCAGGCTGCTGCCGCCGCAGGGAGCTCGTCCCCGGGAGCTCGCAGGATGGTTGCTGTCTTTGATTACGATCCACGGGAGAGCTCTCCCAACACCGACATAGAGGTCAGGTCTGCACAGGCTAAATATGTTGTTCTGTGACAAGGTCCTTTATGTGCAGTTGTATTCTCTGTTTTTAATCTGCTGGTTATGACTCTGTTCAGGCCGAGCTGACCTTCAGTGCAGGAGACATCATACTCGTGTTTGGTGACATGGATGAAGATGGCTTCTTCTATGTAAGTGTTAATGTGACTCAAGAATTTGAAGATATCTGTTTTTGGCATATTTAAATGATAAGCAATTATTGTTGTACTGCAATCCAGTTCATGTTCTATTTATTCTAAAGGCATCTTTAAACCTGCTAAAATACAGTAGAGGGTTTTCTAGAAAACACACTGACACAGGTAACATCTTGCTACCTCACAGAAACAAAAGAGACTAGGAGGCAAAAAACAGATAAAGAGCTACCTGAATAAAATAAATACAAATTAAAAAAATGAGAAATGTGTGACGTCGCATTTGTCTTCCAGGGAGACTTGAATGGACACAGAGGCTTAGTACCATCCAACTTCCTGCAGGCCTTACCACAGGACGCTCCAGCTGAACATCTCTCTGCTCCACCTGCACCAGAACCCAGGAGAGACTCACAGGTACCCCCGCATCTCTGTCTCTCCAGCGTACCTGCAGTAGCTGGAACTGAGCAACCTTCCTGACCTGCAGATGCGTTGTGTCATTTTCATCCATCCATCCATTTTCTAAACCGCTTAGTCCCAAACGGGGTCACGGGGGGCTGGAGCCAATCCCAGCCAGCTGTGGATGAGAGGCGGGGTACACCCTGGACAGGTCGCCAGTCCATCGCAGGGCTAACACACAGACAGACAACCACTCACACACACAATCACCCCTACGGGCAATTTAGAGACACCAATCAACCTATGCTGCATGTCTTTGGACTGTCACTAATATCAGAAGTTTCTTTTACTCTTTATAGTTTGTCAACTGCAAGTATTTACAGAATCTATATTCTATCATTTGCTATTGAGTTTCTTTGATTGTGCTCTTCACATTTCTTCTGCCCATCTGTTTTCTGCATGGCCTTTTGCAGAAGCTGAAACGAACTGTACACTTTGAGACTTGATCGTAAGTGTTTTTGGACATGGCTGGCAGCTCAGTAGTCATCACTGGTGTGCCTTGTTCAGTCCCTGTTTATATCATTCACCCAACCTTTATCTGTAGTTATACACTGCTCCTTTGTGTCAGTTCCTGTACAAACCTATAGCTCTAGTTTACTGAACAGCTGAATCCACTGCCTTCTCTTTTGAGCACTCCTCTCCTTGTGTTTCTTTTTGTTGCAATTTCTACTACAGCCAGCACTAGGTGCTAGCAGTCTGAACACAAAACTCAGTTACTGGGAGTTATATATTGTTAGACATCAGGAGTGCAGTATATTTGGCATGATCATTCTGAAACTCATATTGTCCTCCTGAAGGGTACCTGGATGTCTTCTACAGAGCTACAAAATATGGGGCCCTCAACACTAGAAGATGCTTTGCACCCTCAAACAGAACGTCCTTTCCCTGACCCAGCAGAGCACACATTCCCTCCACCCAAACTGGCACCCATTGCAAGCCCCGCATTGGATCTGGATCTTACTCCAGGTCCAGCTGTTGCACCAGCTGCAGTGGAGACCTGCTGCTCCTTTCCAGCCCCCCTTCCAGCACATGGCCTGGCACAAACAGACTGCTCTGCTCAAGGCAAGAAGAAAAAAGGCTTTTTCTCCAAAGGCAAGAAGCTGTTCAAAAAGCTGGGCTCCAGCAAGAAAGAATGAGAGTCAGGGGCTGACTCAGAATACTCACTTCACATTAAAAGCACTTTTTTAGCTTCACTATTAGTCTTTTAGATGCTTTAACCTTCAGTGATTATACATTTGCCTTACACAGAGCACTGCTAGACCAGCTGTTAGAGGACATTTAAACATCAGTATACAGCATCACAAGAGCATGCTGAAGTGTGCAAACTCACAAATGTATTCTTTAAATACTCGCCAATTTTTGCATATATATATATATACAGTCCTTGTAGTCTCTCAGTTGATGGGATTTTTAGCAGAAGAATCTGAAGCAGAAGGATGTTACACAGCAAACCTGGCTTCCGCCCAACTCAGACACAGCTAATAAAATATTAGCATTAATGTACTGGTGCCACTTTATTTATTTGAAGCAAACAAATAGAAGCAACAGTCAATCTCCGCCCCAGTGTGATTATAAAGAATGCACTATCTGTCCTGAATCGATGTATTTAAAATATGTTTGCTTTATCCCTCACACTTTTGTACAGAACTTGTAATTTATTTGTATCAGACTCCTGCCCTAATCCTCATGTATGAAGTGACATCAGGGCAGGAGATTAGTCATACAGAGCTGTCAGAGACAGTGGTGATCCACTTGTAGTTTAGACCTAGCGGTTTGAAGTTAACAGTCAATGACTGTTGCGTTAAAGCTACTGTTTAATGTTAAGAGTGTGTGTGTGTGTGTGTGTCAGTGTAGATGAAGCTGCCCAGTCTACTGGTGAACTGAAAACTGATGCCTTTCTCAGATGTTAACGTGGGAACACCTGATGTTTGTGGCCACTGGCCTAATTGTTGCATACTATATGCTTTTTGTCTGTGTGAGTGTGTGTGCAAAAATGATATAGTATCTTGTGATAGGCTGGCTGCCCTGGTAGATCATTTCAGGAAAATGTTCTGCTTCAACTAACAATTATTTTGATAATCAAATAATCTTTCCTTTATACTGTTGATGAATGGATTAATTGTTTGGGTTTTAAAACAAAAAAAAACTGAAAGCTGCCTATCACAGTTTCCTGTAGACCAAGGATGTTTTACTGACAAACAGATCAAAGCCCAAAGATCTTTAATTTACCATAATCTAATTCAAGGCAAATCTGAAAATTCTCACATTTGAAAACCTAAAATTCATCAAATATTAATGTTTTCACTTAATTAACTGGTCATCAAAATAGTTGCCAGTTAACTACAGTATCTCTCCTGTAGTCTGATGTAGCTGGCCCCCTCAGAGGCCTAACAGGAGGACCACTGGCTAGGATTGTACTGAAATAGTTTTCATGGCACGGGTGTTCTGAAGCACCACTGTGCTGCGATAGACTTGGCAGCACATGTTAATACATCTATCCTTTTGTCTCCGTGTGAAGAATATAATGATGTTTGCCTTGTGTGTGGATACTGGATCAGACAGGCTAAGTAGTGTTGCATCATCTTTATCAGCCCATGCAGTGTAGTGGTGATTACGTTTTTTGTGGCCACGCATTTGCATTATTTGGTTCAAGCTAAATGAAAATGTAGTACAATTATTCAGTTTGGATGTGGATGCCTGGAGCAGGCTTTAGCATTCTGTTACAGCACATGCGGTGAGTGTCCACTCAGTCTGATTGGATCTGTTATCTGTGTGACACAGGGCTGTTAGGACACTTCTCAGGTTTTTTCATGTAGTTTCTTATCTATTTTGAGCCACTGGCTGATAAAAGCTGCAGAATATGCCAAATTCCTAGGTGCTTTGCCTGTTAGCTATGAGAGACCAAGTATCCAGCAGCTTGGAAGTAATCAGATGACTATTACTGACTGAAGCATGGACATTAGACCTGGCTTCACTCACATTGCTGATGTTTCCCACACAAGTAGACAGTCACACCTAAAGACAAAAGTTGGAGGTGCTGTTTAGGATGTCATGGATGTGTTCATTTGTCAGTGTTACATGAAGGGAGCATGATGATGCCAAGTGAGAAAGGGTGGATGGTTCATAGAAGACACATTATGTAACATAGAAGCAAGACTGAGTGTACTGTAATATCAGGTTTTGTTTTGTTTTTTGTTTTTATAAAAGGGGGGTTGATGCTCAAACGCTGCTGAAATGTAGAGAATAGTTGTACTGTAGCTGTAGCTGACGGCCTTTAATGCACAAGACTTTCCTCTACCTTCTGTAGATAGCTGTGAGTAGACAGCTCCGCTGTTGACTGAACAGACCCGTGTAGGTTGTTTTAGCTCCGCTGATCATGTTTGGCCTTACAGGAAAACCTTGTTTAGTCTTAATATGTTGTTTACAGAATGTTTGGTAACTGCATACGTACCAATGTTACACCCATGTTTGGCCTTATTTATGTTACTGTCATGTTTCTGTTGGTCTGGGCTGACTTGTCTACAATATTCCAGCTGTAGATTGTTGATGCAGTGGAAGAGAAGCTGGATGAGCTTTCTGTATATAATGAAGTGTTGGGTAGAATTTCATACACCATGGGAAACTTTTTTTGTTTTTCCTGACCTGCATTCATTGTTTGAAACCAGTGGAAGACTGACCATTTTTCTACAGTATATTAATGTTTTATTACTCTTTTTGAAGCTCATCTGTAAATATCTTTGATAATATTGTTTTTCAGATTTTTTTTCTTGCATGTCCAATGCAGTGTCAATGAAGGAACAATAACTACGGAAGTCCACGCAGAACTCGACGTGTAATCATGATGGTTTCTTTCTTTTTACAGAAATAAAATATGTATATATTTCACAGAAAACAAGAGTCTGTGGTGCATGTGATGTTCCTGGAAAACAGACCATGAAACAAGGTTTTTTTTTTTACTTTCATCTTTATTGCATATCATACAGATTACATATTACATGTACATGGCTCTTTTTGTCAGGACAGTTGAAACAGATGAATGATAAACTAGAGGAAAGAGTTGCGAGCTTCGCTCTGTACCACACACCGCCCATGTGAGCTGACTGGGGCAACACTCTGGGTAATGTGTGGCCTTGTGAGACAAAGCAGCTTCCTCTTTTCAAACTTCCTGTGTGAGCGCCATGCTGGGCCTGTCCTCTCCCTGAAGCCAACAGTACACTCATCCATAAAGTAGGAAACACTACACTGTGGTGAGGAGTTTAGTAGTGCTTTCTACTTTATGGATGACTGCACTGTACATTGACCGCTCCTCGTCCATCTTCTGTTTTTTTCACTTCTCTCTTCTGCACCTGCACCAATGTTTGCAGCTGCACATATGCACCAACCCCCACCCAGATGCACACTTCCACACCAAACTGAAACCTCTCAGCCCAGCAAACACCCAACGCACATACAACCCTCGCTTTTGTCAAAGCAAAAAATACACATTTCCTGATTTGTCTTGAAACATTTGCATGCATAGTTCTCCACATAACTCATTCAAATTCGAGTGAGGCCCTATTAACATTTTGGTACAAGGCAAAAATCTGTCTCAGACAGTTCGTCAGTGCTGTTTTTTTTTTTGAGGCAAAAGTCATAAGTAAACTGCCAGAGGAAGTGCTATCTTGAGGAAGCCATTTTGGCAGGCATGAGTAAGCTTTTCTGTCTGAGCAAAAGGCTGCTTGCTACAGTCAAAATTCATGTCAAATATGGTGAATGGTAGCTGCAGGTTTCTGTTATCAGTTCAGAATTCAGTTGGAGCAAATGCGAAGATCCCATTGATGCATTAAACACAAATAATATTACAGTGACAATAAAATTCTGCTTTAAATACAGTTCATCGTAAATGTTTTAAATACATTCATCCAAATTCCAAATGAACATCTGAATAGAGCTGCCATAACCAGACGTGGTGAAAGAAATGCAGAGTTAACATGCACTTATTTGTCATTAACTGACATAAAATACATTCAGTCAATTTACCACATCATCACACATGGTACTAGCATAAACTAGCATTAATTGTCCTCCGTCATACTTTACCTCAACCTCTATTTTTTGTGGCGATCCTCCAGCAGCCTCACAGGTGTCTTCTGTCTGTCCAAGGAGTGGATGAAGAAGAAGAAGCCGTCTCCTTTTGAACCCTCTGCAACCACGTGATGTAACCACAGGAAGAGGTCTAACAGTCACAGCCACTCTTTCTCTTCTTCCGCCTCCACTCTCTTCTTTCTGTAGGTGCTTTTTAAAAAAAGCTGACAAGTAAAAAAGATTTTTCAGATGCAATGTTTGATAATGGCAAAAAACAATGTGGTAAATGACATTAACATGTGAAATGTTTTAGTGCGAAGTACAAACACTGGAGCGTCCCAGACTTTGTTTTAATGTGAATAGTTTCATTTTAATTCTTAAGTTTAAATGATTCTGTTAAAACTTAGCCTGAGTGTGATGCTGTGCTGCAGGCAATGATGTCATTTATGCTCCTGCTTTGCACAGTTTTGGCCAGAACACAAGTCAGTAATGTGACGTTGGGTAATAAACCCAGAAGAAAATGGAGAGAGATTACAATATGCATGGTGAGCTTATCTGTAGCTTTCCCATCAGGCAACTTATTCTCTATTTGTATTTCACAACAGACTCATGACCTACTGTATGTGTAATACAAACGGGAAGTACATTTTACCTTCTCACATCTTGAGAAGTGTATATGAATTAGATGACAGAGGTGCAGGAAGGGTTGATTAAGTAAACCAAATACCTCTTGAGTAAAGATGAACATTTCCTGTGTGAAGAGGTTTCACTCACACTCTGACTTTCCCTCAGCGAACTCTTAATGTAGTCACTGTTAATGAGTTCAGCATCAGTGGTAAATGTTGCTTCTTTTTGACATAAAGCAAGGCTCACTGGTTCACACAATGTGGAAACAATAAAGATCTCTTCAGAAATTGTTTTTACTGAAATCAGTTGTAAAGCACTATAATATGTCGTTAAAGGATGGGGGGTCAACCCTCATATGATACTCACATGCCCATATGTGCAATGAAAGCATTTTGGTCCCTGTAGCTAGTCCCCCTGTCCATGCTGACTACAAGACATCCTTTCCTAAAACTATTTGATTGTAAGTGATGGGAAACAAAATCCGCAGCCCTCACTTTAGAATGAACTGAACTGAAACACAAGGACAGTGGATTTTGTCCCTTCTCTCTTAGTAGGGAAGGGATCTCCTTGTGGCCAGCACGAATGCCAGATTTTAATTATAGTTGCCAAAAACTGTTTCAATGTACATATGGGCATATGAGTATTGTTTTATATTAGACTAGAAACAATGTGAAGCAGTCCTTCCATGTGTGAGCCAACTGCCACTTTTGTTCAGGAGGCAACTTGTTTGCATGTTGAGCCACATTTTTGTTACCATTACCTTTCTGCCAGTTTTCAAAAGTGAAAGGCCACCCGTTTCAATTCCCCATAAATGTAAATGTATAACTGTAACCGTGTGGTTTCTCATTGCAATAATCTGGAGGGGAGCAGGGTGACACCCCCGGCAGGGCAACATAAAGCCATACTGATGACATTTAGTAATATGGAAACATCAGCATGTGAGTTTCAGTCAGAGACCACTAAACGTTTAAGAGCGTGTACCGTATGTAGAGTACAAGCAGCGGAAAGACATACATTGACTCAAGAACAAATTTGAAGCAATGTTTCATGATAAGGCTACAAAGTCTAATGCATTTCTATTGAATAAACTACTCACTCTAAATGCTACGATTTTAAAATGCCCCTTACATGTTAATGCACCTGTAACAAAAATCTACTTAAGTGCATTTTGCTGATAAATATACAGTATGTTTACTGAAGCAGCAATATCCACAAATGGAGTTTACTCGTAACAGAATATTTTTACAGTGAGGTACTGGTATATTAAGTAAGGTAAGAGAATACTTGTTCCTCCACCAAGTACAAATGCTCAGCCTTAAGCAAACCTAGCAGACTAACTAGAGAACCAGATTTTCTCTGTTAAGGCTGTGTTTGGTTCATTTGTTTGCTCCTCTTGTAGTTTACATTCTAATTTAGCTCACCAAAATCAAACAAACAAACACAAAACTGCCTGAATAAGTACAGAAGTTAGCAGGAAACCACAAAATAAAGGTACTCATATTGTCTCTGTGACTGTATACACTACATTATTAGATATGCCATTATTAGCATATTTAATAGTAACTAGCATTTTACTGTTGTAGCTGCTAGAGGTGGAGCCAGTTTGAACTACTATTTACGACGGGTCCCAACCCCTGCTCATTCGCATTCTTACACATTTACTTGTAGAGCTTTGGTGTGTATAGAAACATGACATGGTCAGGTAGACTATACATCTACTGTTGTTGGGAGAAAACAAGCAGACATCCTTCTGACATCAGTACCTGTGAGGGTAGTGGATGTGGTGTACAAACCCCTCCACCTGCACTGGGTACGTGTGTGTGTGTGTGTGTGTGTGTGTGCATGTTCACTACACAACAAAGGCATTAGAGAAGAGCTGACACTTTGGATACAAATTTGATATAAGACAGGGATCTGACGTCAGCCTGTGTACCAGATACCATAGATGTTAGAAAACAATGAATACTGGGTAACACACTGAAACTACAGACACCTACTTTATGAGAATTCTGGGTATTTATTTGTATTAAATTCAAGCCTCACTTATGAGCATCAGTAATAAATATAACAAGTTTATTACAATGAGGAGCTCTGGAAAATGTCCAGCACATGTTGTCTCTAAAGGGCTTTAGCCTTTAACCCTTTGATGGCTTGACCTCAGCCCTGCATTTTCCTAAGCTCTGCCCTCTTCAACTTATTGAGTCACCAGCTTCCATTTAAGTGAGAATACACCAGCCTTCATCTGGCAGGTGACCACTAACATTCAGTCATTTGTGTATGTGCCAGTGAGGAAGTGATCCTCACTCCTTGTGTGAAGCTAAAGCCGGGGCCTTCCCGAACCCACACTGCCTCTCGTGATAGACCTTATCTGGGCTGGCAGCCATTTCCCCTCCCTGCCTGTGCTCTCCAAGCTCCTCCTGGGCCACAAGTGGGTGTCAACACCACCGAGCCACCCAGAAGCTTACAGGTCCCTCCCAGCCCCTGCCTGAGCAGCTCCTCACCAGCTTCTGCAAAGCACCAGTGGAAAATAAGTTACTCAGAGACTGTACTGAAGACAGTTTTGAGATACAAACCTGTTACTTAAGTATTTCCATTTACAATCTTAGAGCTAATTGCTCAAAATGTTTTGATAGCACAGCTCAAAGGCTATAAAAATTCAGAAATACAGCAGAAAAATATGTAAGACATAAAACTTTAGATACAGTATATGTAAAGTCATTTAATCCCAACTGGGTTTGGGGTCTTTCATTTTAAGAACATATAAATGCCAGTATTCACAGATGAATAGACTACAGAATGAATAGACTACTACAGTTAGAGGTTCAGATTATCAGCTGTTTCATGAAAAGCAAACGTAGATTACACAACTTTGTTTCTTTTTCTTTCCTCTCTGATTAATCACATCATGGCCCTTCTGATTTGGTTTGTGAACCTTTGGAGGGGCCTGAGCCCTGGTTTGGAAACCACTGGACACAACTAACTCTACAGTAGGTGAAAAAGTTAAACTAGCTTCCACTTTGAGCTGCTACAACAGTAAAATTGTATTTATACACTGATGCCTCAGTATTATAAACTTAATAATGCCATATTTCAGTCATTGTATTGCACAATGAGTACTTCTACTTTCAATGCTTTGTGTAGGTTTTGCTGATACTACCTTTGCTATTTCTATACTCTTACTTAAAGATTTCTGAGTATTTTTACATTGTTGTACTGGTATTTTACTTACAGCAAGTAAAGACTCTGAATATCACCACCACCAAAAGCACCAAGTTTAACATACATGTATGTGGACATGGCAGCACTGTGAAGAACATGCCCTCATTTGTAAAAGGAAATGAAATCCTTCAGTGTGACAGGCTGCTCTCAGTTCTGTAGCTGGTTGCTAATCTGTAGAAGAGAGGACGTTTTGTCAGTCTTACGAAACACACTGACACACACCAGTGTGAGTGCATGTGGCCGTCTGTTGATAATGTCCATCCCCCCGTGTCAATTCAGCTTCTGACTTCCCCATCTCCACTCCATCCCTGTCAGACAGAACACTTTTCAACCTGTTCTTGTTTTTTGCTTTTGGTTACCACAGGTCACCACTCAGCCAAGACGGTGCATCAGCATCTTGCCTTCTGATCTCATCCTTCGCCTTTAGCTTAAACCCTTCACATGCCCAAATAAGGACAAAAGCCATACTATGGTTGCAAGCACCAGTGAGACCTTGGGTGTGTGAAAATGAAAGCCATTTCACTCAGATGCTGATGTGTAGCAGAGGGTGCGCAGGCCTTCCTGACAGCACCTGTGGTTGTGGACGTCTTGCGGCAGTGAGCTGAGTTCTTGGTTTTGTTTTTAGTTCACAGCCTTGTGAAATGACTTCAGCTACATGTAGTTTGAAGAGAAAAGAGGTTCCAATCATGTGAAAAGGTGATCAAAGCAGCACTTTAGTGTGGAAGTGTGTTGTGAGACATGGTGGTAAAAGGGGTAACATTGATCAATTCAGTGATGTTGCCCTCCTGTACACTCAGTTCTGTACCGAGGTAAAAACCACAGGAAGGTGCAGAGTTAGATTTATTTCATTTGATTATCAACTGTCTTCAGCCACTGTAGCTAGATTGTCTTTTCAATTCCAGTCAATGCAATTCTGTTTTTTTTGTATAGTGCCAAATCACAACAAATGTCATCTCAGGACACTTTACAAATATTTGAATAACGGTGATATTTGATTTGCATGTTGCAGTTCACAGTGAAAGTCTCCCAGCATGCACTGGGCAGGAGATGGAGAAATGTACCAAAATCCAGGTTAATTACTACAGAAGCACAGGATTAACAACAAAACAAATAAATAAATAACAACTTGGTTTTCATGGGATTGCTCAGTCAATACATACAATGTGTTCACTATGGAAACGTATACACCACCTGTTAACGTCGGCATAAACATCTTCTCCTTTACATGACAACAGGAACAATTAAAGCATTACAAAGACACTTGTAAGGTCACCACAACAGTGGCACAGCTAAATGTATACTAAATGAA